CCTGTCTGTGGGGGGGGAGCCCCCCCCCCCCCCACGCTCCCTGCTCCATTGTGTAGATGCAGTGGATTGAAGGTGGGGGGCATATTAGGGGAAGTTTCTCGGTAGGCTCTGCTGGCCATGTTCCCAATAAGGGTGTTCTCTGCCTGTGTCAGCCTGGCCCAGATCGCCAGGGAACAGCCTCCTGTGGAAAAATGTAATCAGAAAGAAGCCCTCCTGGCAGTGAGAAATGAGCTCCAGCTCAATGCCTGCCACCTGCACCTTGACACCTGCCTCCCCTCCCTGGTCCCTGGTCCCCGGTCCCTGTCACATCCAGCTATGTGGTCTTCACTGCCCCATTCAAGGCTTGTGGCTTTGTCTGGCTGGTGAGGGGGCTATGGAGGCTCATAAGGACAAGGCTGCCAGGAGCCTGGGACACCAGGGAGATTCAGGGGTGAGAGGACAGAGCTAGGTGTCTGGGCTGGATGGGGTAGAATCAGGTCATACTGACCTGCTCTGTGGCTCTGGGCAAGTCACAGCCTCTCTGACCTTCAGTATCTTTCTCTAAAAGATGCAGAGGCCTGGATGGCTCTGGAATTTGGTAGCCAAAGGTATGATGCAGACATGCTATTTACTTGTGCTTATTTCTTGCATCCTCAGCAGTTCCGTGAGGAGGCAGAACTATCATCCCCATTTTCCAGATGAGGAAACTGAGGTTTACTGAAAGAAAAGCCCCACTGTCTACCACCAGATGCAATTTAGCACATCATTCTCCAAAGCAGAATAGGCTTTTGAGCAAGCCAGGGATCTTGAGCAAGACCTAGACAGGAAGCTGAGGCCCCAGGAGGGCAGTGACTTCAAGTCCACATGGTGAGGTGGGGGCCAAGTTGGGGATGTACCTGTCCCGGCTTCCACCATCATAAGGAGCTGGTGTTCTCACAGATCTCGGCACAGATGGTGGAATTCTTTGCTGACCTGTTCTACACACCCACACCTCGGAGTTCAGGCCAGCCTACCATTGCCTCCTTCCTCCACAGAGTCAGCTGCACTGCCAAGTGGTGAGCACTGCCTGGGGACCCTTAGCCTGTCTTGGGTCCTGCAGGAAGATGAAGGATAGGCTGGGTGAGGGCTGCCCCTCCAGCAAGTAGACAACAGGCACTGACCTCGTGGACCCCATTGGTGTGAGCATTGGGCAGGGCTGGGCATGCTAGCCTGGGAGTCTGAATTTGGGATTCCTGGATTCTCCTGGTTTCTCTCTCCTGTCCTGTTCTGTTTCCTACATGGGCTGCCCTCGGGGACTTGTCATCAGCCTTGAGGGTATGTTTTTGCAGTAACCCCCTCTTGCTTCCCCACCAGCCCGGAAGCCCCCATCTTGTCTCCCCCGTCCTTGGTTACTGGCTCCCTGGCTAGGGTTGAACATCTGGACTTCAGGATGAGACTTTGGCCTGGTTTGTCCCTTCCTACAGGCAGGGGACATTGGTTGGGCTGAGGAACTGTCCCAGGGGGAAGGTCCCCTGGCTCAGGAGCTCCTATGCTTCTAGTTCTGGGCTAGGCTACCCTGGTGAGAGCAGGAAGTGAGGGAGGGTAAGGTGGCCAGGTGGATAGGCCCCAGCTTTGCGGACCTCCCTTCTTTCTGTGTGGCCTTGGGCAAGCCCATCAGTGTCTCTGGGCCTTGTGTCTTCCCCATCTGGTTTTCATTCCAGCCTGGGAGGGGGCCATGCTAGAGGATCCAGACCCTGCTAACACCAGCTCTGTTTTCCTGGGCTCTGAGCTCCACATGGAATTTGCCATGATTGGTGGCTCCCATCACCCCTGACAGCTGTACATGGATGAGTGTGTGACCAGCCCCAGCCAGGATTTGGAAGTAGCCCCTGTACACTACTGTCAGGAATCATGGGTACTGGAGCTGGGAGAGGAGGACAGGGTAGGATGGGTACTGTTCAATGGGTTGCATCTGTGGGGAGGCTGGAACAGGGGCTGAGAACATTTCCAGGGCTAGAAGGGACAAATGCCCATCTGGGAGTTCTTGAGTGGTTTTCTCTAGGCCAGGGGAGCAAGAACTCTCTACTGGCCCTTTCATCTCTGGAGCCTCTGTTAGCCCCTTGGTGAAAAGGGGAAAGTGCCAGAATCTTCACAGCACTACCACGTAGATTGAATGGGACAATGCTTAGCTCAATGTTTGGCATGCAGAGTTCTCAACAAATGATCATGTGTGGTGCTGTTGGCGCAAGGCTAGGACCAGACTCCAGTTCAGGGATGTCCTCTGGGCTCTGATGACTTCCTGACCTGGGTCTTCCAAGTGCCTGGTGGATGGCAAGAATGCCCATTCCCACTTCCTGCCCTGAGAGGTCCCTGAGAGACTGAGGCTCTCCCTCCAGGCCTTCAGCTTTATGGGCGTTCCCAGTGATGCGAGTGGAAGCAGGACTCAGGGTCTGAGTCTCCCCACCCCTCAACTTTCCAAAGATTCCTCAGCCTGGGTCTCTGTCCCCACAGGTACGTGTCCACTGCAAGCTGCTGGTCTGGGATCCAAAGGTGCCATCTGATGCTACCAAGAAGGCCTTTTCCTTCCATGGGGACACAAACAGCTGTCACACTTCACTGAAAATATACTACATGTCCTATCCTGTAACTGGCATTTGATGTACATGACCTCACTTAATGGCATGGGAGGTGAGGAAACTTAGGCTCAAGGTGGCTCAGATGAACCTTCCAAAATGTCTGGTCCTCCCACAATAGTTCCCCCTGGCTGGCTGGACCAGCCCAAATACCCTGGCCTAGAGTGGGCAGTATGAGGGATTTGGGTAATTGAGACTTTGGATTCTGACCCAGACCCAGGTTTGAATCCCAGCTTCAACACTTGTTGGCTGTGACATGGGCAAGTCACTGACCTTTAATGAGCCTCTGTTTCTTCACTTGGTGCTAAATGCAGGTCTGGCCCATGCCACCCTCAATCCCCCGTCTCGGGTGCACTGATCACCCATCCCCAACCTTCCTCTAAGTGGGAACTTGTAGACAATGCCTCTCTGAGCAGTATGTGTAACTGCTGTGAGGTTACCTGCCTGGCCCCCCAGTCAGCCCATCAAAGGGACTCGGTAGGTAGGAGGCTGCTGA